GCACCCCTCTGTCCCTCTAGGAATGGCAGGGTGCGGGGAGCTCACTGTAGAGCACCCCTCTGTCCCTCTAGGAATGGCAGGGTGCAGGGAGCTCACTGCAGAACACCCCCCTGTCCCTCTGGGAATGGCAGGGTGCAGGGAGCTCACTGCAGAACACCCCCCTGTCCCTCTAGGAATGGCAGGGTGCAGGGAGCTCACTGCAGAGCACCCCCCTGTCCCTCTAGGAATGGCAGGGTGCAGGGAGCTCACTGCAGAACATGCCAACCTGGAACACCTCTTTCCTACCCACACCAGGCAGAAGATGGCACTCAATCCACCACAGAAAGCCAGTGCACCAGGGGTATTCAAGCCACCGAGGACCACAATCACCAAGGCCAGCCAGCACTGAGGCCTCCACAGATGGCGGGAGAATGACTCACAGAAACAACTCCTTCTGATGAGGGTCTTCCAGGTTGAATTGGTTCTTTCTTATGAGTTCAAAAAATTCCCCTCGCCTCCTTGAAATACAGAAAACATTAGGCAGTTATGAGGTCCCCTGCTCTCCCCCGTGACCTAGAGGGTCATGGATACACCTTCCCTCCTATGGCCCAGGAGACCACCATCTGAAAAGACTTGATTCCCCACTTTCCCTCTGCTCGCGTGGTTTTGGTGGAAGGTTAAACTTCACCTGGTTTTTAACCACAAAGAGCAGTCATTTCAATTCTGGAATATTTTAATAAAAAAGTGAGTAAAAAGCGTGACATCAAGTGAGATCTAAGGCATTTTAAGGTCGGGACCTAATGAGACCTAGAGGTTCAGGTTAGCGCTGTCTACCGTGTTCCTACACATTGTGAAATAGAGCGCAAGGCTCTGGAAGCCAAGGAAGGCCTGGTAAGTTAGTGTGGTCATCCCAGGAGCTGGCAGGGTCAGCGGGTGGAGCTGCTTTGGGCCCACCGCTGCTGAGTATCTGAAGAACTACTCGGCACAGTGCTCAAGGTCCAGCTAGAGACAGACCCAGGGAAAGGAACGCCCGTGGGACGGCACTGACCATCCTGCTGAGAACCAAAGTCAGGCAGGTTTCTTCTGGTCAGGTGAGACCCACGAGGCCCAGAAGGCCTGGGCAGGCTGTGAGGTCACAGGTCGTTCTCAAGTGCCTGGTCATGTGGCAGTCCTTACTCAGCAGTTACTTGACGGGAAGTTTACTGTGTTTCCTTCTGTTCTCCTTAACTCAGTGTCCACCCTCGCGCAGCAGGTGTTGTGGGTGCTGCTGGGGCCTCGACAGTGGACATCTGGCGTAGGTGGCTGGGTGTTTGTGCTGTTTGCTCTGCTTCCCCTAACAGTGGCTCAAACTGGCCCAAGGACCCTCGTGCAGAGGACAGGCTGTGCTCCTGGGGAATCGGGTGAGCCCCACTCCCCATCTCCCAGAGCACCAGCACTCTCCCTGCGAGTTGGGAACCCCCGACTGTCGGGCTCTCGGAGAAGTGCCTTGCTGGGCAGGTGCACAATCACAAACGCCACCTTCACAGTCTCAAAGGTGTACGTGAATGTCCCCTTCTTGTGCCAAAATCAAATAAAAAGAACCCTGAGCTGCTGTTTTGGCTCTGGCAGCTCTTCCTGCCCCCGGGGTTGGATGGTGGCAGGAAGGAGGTGCGGATGGAGTGAGTCAGGTGTGGGAAAGGGGGAAGGCCACAGGCCCAGGAACCTTCAGCAGGAATGACCTTGAGTCAGAGATCTGGGCGATCATGGCTTCAGAGACACCACGGGAGATGAAGAAGGGAAACAGCCATGTGTTCTGTGAGTTTTAGCTCCCAGTGAGCAACGGGCTGCTACAATTAAAACTCCCCGCCCACCTGAGGGTCAGCGCTGCCAGGGGTCTGAGGACTGCCCAGACCTGGGCCTGGTGCAGGAAGCCTGCAAGACCTGCCTCGGAGGGGTCTCCTGAGACTCACTTGATGTACAGCGCCAGGTCTGTGGCCAGGATGGCTTGCTTGATCACCTTCAGCGCGGCCTTGTATTCTTCAACGGAGAGGCCGCTGAGAATCTGATTGCCCTTGACAGAGAAAAGAGAAGCATCACTAGCACTGCGTCCAGAGACGCTGCGGGGAGCCATCTGCGACATCTGGAACACAGCTCCGGTCACCTGCCCCGAGCGGCGCGGGAGATGGCACCGTCTGCTCTTCCCCGCCACCCTGGGTGACATGCCACTTGTTCCCCAGGCCTGAGCACAGACAGAACATCTCCTGGCCACCTACTCTTCCTTCTGGCAGGTTTTGGGCTACAATCTAACAGCAGGTAAAACTGAGAAGTGAAGGGGTGTCAGGAGCGGAGCTGCGAGGGTCAAACTGACAATCAGGTCACGGCCCTGTGGCTTCTGTGATAAGCCCAGAAGGATCCTCAGGTGAATCCACACACCTTGGTGGCTCTCTAGTGTCAGACGGAGTAGAACGCACAGCGCAGACACACAGAAGGCGCCCAGAACATCTGTGAACGGAGTCAGATGTGTCTCGTTAATCAGCGCCAACAAGAGCCCAGAGGCCTGGGAACGAGGCCAGGAGGCAGAGGGCTTGCGGTGGGGACCAGGCACCCGCCGGCCGTCCAGGCGGGGGCCAGAGTGCGCGGGCTGGAGGAGCCGAAGCACTGCAGCAGTGGCACGGCTGAATCAATGACGAAACGCGTCACTCAGCCACGGACGTAGAGGTCCTCTAAACACTGAGTCATTTTAGATTCTGAGCCAAGCGGAGATGCTTGTATTCAAGAGAAAACAACCTCAAGCACAACCGGAGGCGTCTTTAGCGCTACATTCTTAGTTTTCCTTCCCAAGCAGAGGCTGTAACTTCTGTACATCACGTTAAAAGACGAACTACACAGCAGGCCTCGCTGTGGAGGCCGACACACGGACAGCCGATTCCACGTGTGCCAACACACCGTGACCTGTACTGTCCAGTAAAAGAAGGACTTCCAACACGCGGATGGCAGAGCTGCCAGGAGGACAGCAAGGCCTTTCCACACGACACCACACACACATTTCTGCAGAGTCTTGGTTTGAAAAGCTGCACACTGGAAATCGCACACTTACGGGGAAAACAGGGTCAGGAGAGACCCCTGCACAGAACCAGGCCCAGGCCAGACCTCTGGCCGAGCAGGTCCCCAGTGCCCCTGAGATGTGAGAGTGAGGAACCAGCAGTGGAAATGAGAAGGTGGGCGCTGAGGCGAAGCCAGGCAGGCCAGGACCCAGGTGACCGCCAACGTGGAGCAAGGCCAGCACTTCCTGGGGTGCCTGCTTGACATTCTTAAAACAGACCCTGCCCCCAGGAGACGGGGCGGGGGCCTTCCTTCCCTGCTGAACTCAAAATCCAGCACCCACAGTTCTGGCTCATCGGAGCCCCGACAACTTGTGTAAGAACTGCTCCTATAGTACACTGCAGTGACACAGGGACCAAGCCGTGACAGTCACAGGCCCTGGCCACGCCCCCCACGAGGCCACCTATGGGACGTTCTGCGGAGGCTGGAGCAGGCTGCGTGAATCTTCACCTCCATGACACCAGGGTCATGAGGAGTGGGAGCAGGTCCTCACACCTCAAGTGACAGCCAGCAGGTCCTGTGCAAGGTCCTGCAGGTGAGGGGACGGGCCAGGACCTGCGTCTGGACACCTCCCTGACAGGGGGAGTCTAAGGGCCAGGCTGTCTGGCTCCCACTCGGGGGTGCTCTGTGGGGAGCACGCATTGCCCCGAGGGAAGCGCTCCACGGGGCTCCCCGGCTCCTGGCACAGGGGCTTCCTACCAGAACAGGGCTGAGAGCACCCGGCCCTCCGACGCCTGCTCTCCAAGTCTGGAGAGGCCTGCAGGCAGGTGTGGGTGAGGAAGGCGCTGGCAGCAGCTCACAGGAGCAAGAGGGAAGCCACCATGCAGGAAGGGGGAGCCTGAGCCTTCACGTCCAGCTCCCAACTCCCCGGCACCGGCCATGTGGCCTCTCCATTGAGAACCAGGGACGGCATGGTGGGACCTAAGGGAGCTGGAGGACTTTAACTTACAAAGGAGGGACAGAGATCGCCTTGGACTCTGAGTATTGTCCCCAGGCTCAGAAAGGCACTAGCCCAGGGCCCACCCACAGACGAGGTGATGTGTATGCTTTGGGGTCACCCATGCCAGTGCTTGTCAGCACAGCAGTCAGGACTTCCCTCTGTCACCCGGGTCACACGAGCAGACAGAGATGGCACGGAGGCACGAGGCCTGCGCTCGGCAAACGCCCCCCCTCAAATGCCCTGGCGCTCCTCTCCTGCCTTACTGCCCTTAGGCAGGGAGGTTCTGTGCACGGCCTACGTCTGCGCACATGGACAGTGGTCCAGGCACCCTGGCCGTCCAACAGCACCCTTCCTTGACAACATGGTAGCATTAGAGGTTTTAGTGAAGAGAAGGCTGTGTGCTTCTTGGTGGCACAGCAGTGCTCAGTGTGCGCCAGGCCAAGCCAACGCCCAGCGCCACAGTGGGAAAGGAGAGCTGTGACTCCAAAAGCAAACCCCAGGCTGCAGAAGCCACAGAGCCATTCCCACGGGGCGGCCAAAGCAGCCCCGCAACCTACGGGGCAACGTGGAGACGGCTCTGGTTGGCAGAGGCGCTGCGAGGTCTCCGCGGATCTGGTTCCTGTTGCTACCCAAAAGAGAAGGGCGCGTGTTCAGGCTCAGCGCTGCAGGTGGGAGCAGCAGGCGGGAGCCGCAGAGGGGGACTCACCGGGCTGTTGAGGATCATCAGGCACTGGTCGAAGTGGTGGTGCTCCATGATGGAGTGGCAGTACAGCTGGGCCAGCGGGTGCTCTGTCCTGTGGGCGTGGAGAGAGGAGAGGCCGCGTCCTCAGTGTGGCTGAGCTCAGCAGACGGCCTCACCCAGCAGCCAAGCCCGCCCGCCCTCCGCCCTCTGGGTGAGCAGCCACCTCTGGGAGCAGGAGAACCTGCCTGTTCTGAGTGTGAGCAGTGTTGGTGTTTTAGCAGAGTGGACCGGCAGTGTGGGGACAGGAAGGGAGAGCCGCCCCAGGGGTAGGAAAACACCTGTTACACATAAATATTATCGCACACCTTACAGTTTTCAATTTTAAAACTGCATCTGACTTAGACTCTGAACCAGTTCACAGGTTAGCTTTGCCTTTGCAGTCACGCTCAGGCGGGGGTCGATGTTCCCAGCACCGATGAGGTGGGATTCAGGGGCCTGTCACTGGACCGAGCTGCCCAGGGGGCTGCCCAGGCTCGGCCCCCTGGAGGGAAGCAGGCGGCTGAGTCAGTTGGTTCCTGGTTCCTGCAGTGCCCGACGTCGCCAGCTCTCTGAGTTGACCCAGTGGTGCCCGGGTTGAGCCGAGAGGCATGGCAGTGCCCAGTTCAGCAGGCGGGAGACAGCCAGGCTGCACAGGGCGCACTGCCTGCATCCAGTGCTCGCCTCTGGCCCTGCGCAGCCCCACCACCTCTGCTCCCGGCTGCAGGAAGGGCCCGTGAGTGCTGGCAGGTGTCCGAGGCCCCTGGCTAGTTGCCACTCCCTGCGGTTCTCTGACCAGCAGGTGATTTGTGGAGGCTTCAGAAGGTGCTCCAGGCCGAAGGACTGTGAGGTGGGAGCGCCAGGCCCAGAGCCCGCCTGCCTCGCCCATGCTCACTCCTGCACCTCGTGCTCAGGAGAGACTGGTCCTCGGCAAGGGGAAAGAGGAGCAGGCATTGCCGGAAGGAGAAGATGCCTGGGCCACCTGGTGAGCCAGGAGGCCCAGGGGGCTTCCAGGAGCCTAAGCCAGGGAGGCTGCAGGCCTTGTGCACTCCACCGTCCCAGGCCGTGCCTGCAGGGAAACCAGGCAGAGACGGCTGCAAGACGGGCATCCCGGTACGTGCTCTGGTGACGGAGGTTCAGAACCTGCTTGGGTGGACGCACATGGCAGAGAGGGGATCCGAGTGCATCTCCTGCCCTGTATCACTCTGACCAGCGCCTCGGTGCTCCACGTGGCCTCCACGGGCTGCCTGGGCTGGCAAAGGCAGTCAGGGCCCCGACACAGCAAGCTGGAACGTCAGCGGGCATCACTTCGTCAGATGCAGACAGGGTGCTTCCCCTCGGGGAGTGGACAGGTGCAGGCGTGCTCGCCTTACATCTCAGAGCACAGCCTCCTGAGCCACAGGAGGGAGGCAGGGCCCACGCTGCCGGCTCACAGCCATGCTCAGAAAGCCAGGCCTCGTACCCTGCGGCCTCCCACTCCGGCAGACGCTGGTGCCCAGGAGGACCTAGAAAACCACGCGGGCCGGGGTCCATTCCCTGAGCTCAGAGCTGTGGCACTCAGCCTGCCGGGCCAGCCACGGGTCCAGCTCTGAGAGCGCTGTCAGGACGTGTGCAGAAACAGGAAGCCTTTGAAACAGCAGGCAGCGAGAGCCCTCGGAAGGCCACCCTGCCCCTCCCCAGGACCACCAGCACTGGCGGCCAGACACGCTCCTCACTCAGGGCCCAGACCTCTCCCGCCACCTTTCCCGCCATCTGTCCCGCACACCAACGCCCTGGGGTCTGCACGGCCTCCCTTCTCTGCGCCTATTTTAAGCTGGCGTCCATCTGACCCTCCGACCTCCTGGCCCTGGCTGGCACTCCCCATCTCTTCACGTCACGGATAGACACACCCCGCAGCCTCGGGGCAGCGGGGCCCAGACTGATGGCCGCTGCCCCCACCCACCAAGGCACAAGGCAGGTCGTGGACCACACAGATGGCTGAGGGCAGCCCAGGGGACATCCAAGACCCGTGGTGTCAGCCGGCACAGGCCCTGTTCCGAGCAGGCGGCAGCAGCGTTCAGTCCTTCAGAGTCACAGGCCCCCAGTTCCCCAGGGTGGGCTCTCCATGGTGGCCGCTGACCTTGGCGTGTTTGGACTGACTCTTCACTAACACCTGGGTCTCCAGGCTTCCATGACCCAGCCTTGGCAGGGGCCCCTCACACTAGACAGGCTCCAAGGGTGGGCTTGTGACCCCACCTGCACGCTCCTTGGTCCCCTGGAGGCCGTCCAGTCCCAAAGGCAGGGCAGGACGCCAGCCCCTTCCTGCACCTCCATCTCCAGGGCTGGTGGCGTCCTCAGGACTCCTCTCCAATCTGGACGCCAACTCCTTGTGGGACTGTGCCTTCCACCTCCCTCTGTGCCACCCTCCAAGAGGGCCCGCCCCTGTCTTCATGCAGGTGACAAGTGGTTCAATTTTAACTTGAACACTGGTCCTGGCCCACACTCCCTCCTCCAGCAGTGGAGCTGGACCT